TTATCGCCTGCTAGGGRTGTAAGAAAATATATCCCAATATTTCATTTCCTGGCAATGTATCAATTTTTAATTGAGGATTAATGGATGGATGGTGTAAAAAGAAATATGAAATACAAATGCAGTTCTCACTATTCTTCTGACTGCCTAAAAATAAACTGAATTCAATCYGATTTTATGCATGTAAATGCATGGTGACCTCATTATACTGCTTACAGTATTGCAATCAGAGGTGTCAAGTAACTAAGTACAAATACTTTACTTAAGCAGAAATTTTGGTTATTTATACTTCAGTGGAGTAATTATTTTTCAGCCTACTTTTTACTTCTACTCCTTACATTTTTATTCAGTTATCTGTACTTTCTACTCCTTACTTTAAAAAATGCAAAAACTACTTAACTTTGACTTGTTTTTATTCCATCTTTTCATTGTTCAGAAAAAAACAAAAAACAAAAAAACAAAAAACAAAAACAGAACTCTATCCAGATACATGGAGCCCATGAATAAAGTGATTGTGGTTGGATGAGAAGTGTAAGTATATACCATTCTGACACCCTATTGCAGTGTTTCCCAAAGTTGGGGTCGGGACCCAAAGTGGGGTCCCGAAACATCAAGGTGGGGTCCTGAAAAGATTTTCTGAATCAATGACATTTTTGCCTTAGTTTGTACAAAGGAGTGAGGTTAGTATATTTAAAATGAATAAATGTAATATAAAAATATTGTTACTATGCCCATGTTTTGTTGACCTGATACAAATGTTTATCATCCAAAAGTAGTTGTGGGCACAGGTCTCTGCTACTGTTTTGTACTATTTTGTGGGCCAAAAGCTGAAAAGTTTGGGAACCACTGCACTTTGGTTCCCAAAGTTGGGCTTGGGACCCAATTATGGGTCATGAAGCACCTTGGATAATCTCCAGAAATCAATTTAAAGGGTAATAAAATAATTGCTGGTGTAATATTTTCCCTATAACTATTACAAAAACACAAAATAAGTATAAATAAGTATTTATATTTGTGTACAAGCTGTTTAGATTGTCAAAAAGCCTGTGTTTTTAGGGTTATTAACGAAGTTCATGTACTCAGACCAGTAATATTTGGGGTCACAAGTTTTTGCCATGGAAATTTTGTGGGTCAGAAGACAAAAAGTTTGGGAACCACTGCCCTATTGGATTGAACGCATGCACTCACACCTGTATGACACAAATCACATCACATTCCAGCAGGACAGACTGTAGCAGATGTAGCCTAGAATGAAGATGATCGTGGCTGAAACAAGTATAGTCAATTAATTCCAATTTTTTTCAATATTAACATTTAAATTTATCATTATACTCATTATTGACTTTAGAAGAAAAAAAGGGGGGGTACGCTATAGAACCCTGTGGCACAGAGCTTTTATCCTTAATGGCTTTTTAAAAATGTTCATTACTTTTACTTTTATCCTTTTAGTAGTTTTAAAACCAGTACTTTTATACTTTTGAGTAAAAAGCTTGAGTTGATACTTCTACTTCCAAAAAAGTATTTTAAACCCTAGTATCTATACTTCTACTTAAGTAATGAATGTGAATACATGATACGTCATGTCCTGACACGTGTGTCGTAGTTTGCTTCTTATCACAGAATTCTTGCCAACACACAGCCCTACCACCGGCCATCGTCTTTCAGCGGCAGGGAGATAAAGGTATGGTGTCCTGCATTGGTTCTTGCAAAAGTTGTGTATGTCAGCCTCTGTTAGCCAAACCACAAAATTTATGAAACTCATTGCTTTCCTTCCACTTTGTCAAGAGCTTAAAGCTTTAAAAAAAACACCATACCCTGGAACTGTCAGGGGCTAAAACATGAGTTTGAGACTTAAAAAAACAAACTAAAAATCAATAGTGTTTGTCAAAGCCACTCCTTTGAATGTGTTGGCATTCGGTTTGTGAAACTGAACACTAATGGCTAATGGGGTCCCTGTAAAGGTGGGGATCAATACGGTGATGGCTGAAGTCCCTATGCAGGAAAGCTTACATTTCACCTGCCTGATGTTTGTAGGTTGGGCTTCAAAAGGCTAAAAACAGAGCAGATATTGATGTAACTGATTCACAAAGCAGCTGCTTTTACAAGTGCAATCCGACTGCAAGAYTACCCTGTGAGACGTACCACTTTTATTGACCTATTTACCCTTCAGACCTGTGATGATTGCTCTGTTACCCTACTGTCATTACACTGTCATTTCAGTTCCTTCTGACAGCTTCTTGCACAACCCTCTTCAGCTGAGGAAACCTATACTTTGGTTTATGACAACAAAGGATGTGGCCTGACCTCTGGTCCAGCGCAAAACCAAGCACTGACAGCAATAAACGGAAACTTAATTACACTGACGTTTCTTTTGCAGGCTATAGATCTGATAATAACTCAAACTGAATTATGAGACCCTTAAAGAAAGGCACAAGTAGAATAGTTCACTCTGTGTTGTGCGATAGTGCTGAATGACAATCTGGGACCAAGAGGCTAGCAGAAAAAGTAAAACATAAATGTCTCTAAAACTTCAAGAAATATTTACTGCAGCACAGCCTAAGTAATCAATTCCACATGTCACTGCCAAAGCAGCATACATTTTTATCACATCTTGACGAGCAAATTTGTCTTTTTTTCTGTCAAATTTTCCTATAAATAGAAAGGAATGATAAATGTTTTCTCACTTCTCTGATGATTCAAAGAAGGAGGAATGCACAAATATGAAGAAAAACAAAACAAATGTGGGGAACTAAACTGCCTCAAAGTATCAAAAACAGGATGTGCTCCATCTGGGTCACCTTTTATCTTCTGGCTTTTATTGTGTTTGGACTTTTCTTAACACTTCGTCTCAAATGACGTCTTCCAAATCTCTTTATATTTGTGGAGCTGGACTGTGCCTATCACACTGCAGTGTCACCTTATTTGGKTTGTGTGTGTGTGGCCTACGTGGCAAACTTGATTTGAGCTGACTGGGAAGTTTGTGTCCCACTGCAGCCTAAACACAGTCTGTCCTGTTTCCCCCTGTGCACCATCTATTGTGGAGTGAATGGACCCAGTGTCTGTGGGGCCCAAACCAGGATGTCCACAGGCACTATGATTCACATAATGCAAAACCTATGCTGTGAGGCTGAATTTACCACTAACAAAGTCTCAGATAAGCAAACAATAAAGACAAATGTGCTTGTTGATGATAGGTTCTACTGGGCTAAAATATTTTCTTTCCTAACTGGCTGATTTATACAAGTCTATATTAGCTCATGTCTTGTTTGAAACACAACAGTTTATCACCAGATTCTCATGTTAAGAAGACTATTATAACATATATTAGTTAATACTGACGTTCTAAAAGCAGTCAGTCTGGTTTGACTTGAATGTGGGAGGAACAGATAATGTCACGTTTGAAAATCTCCTAACATCTTGGGTTTCAAAAACCTTCCACTGAATCTACATGCGGTTATAATTGTAGATTTTAGGGTGTATTTGGACAAAGGTGATGCAGTAAAGACCATTTACCTCAATGTAAAAAAGCTCCTAACGCTATTATTCGGTTCCTCCCACTAACTTATGTATCATAAATTGTTTTATTAGATGACAAGATCAAATGGATCATCTTTTCTACTGACAAAAGCAAGATAGGTCATAAAATTTAGGGAACTATTGTAAAAGTATACTGGCGTGCCACAGGGCACTGTTTTAGTTCCTCCACTGTTTAATTTGTGATTTGAATTGTTTTAACATTTCTTGTGTATACTGGCGTTATGGTCATAAATCCAACATTCTAAAACCTATACTGTGAAGCTAAACTAAAATTTTGCCTTGAATTATATAAAAAAAGACTGCTCCGATAAGAGAGACAGAGGGATGAGATTTTCACACAGTATGACTAAATGCAAGCTGTTGTCTTGCTTACAAATAGTTTCACATTTGATTTACAAAGAAAAAATTATAACAAAAGCACATATGTGAACAATAATCTTCAGAAAGTAGTCAGTCAGGTTTGTTTTAACGTCAAGAGTTGTTATTGGGTCTAGGTTGCAGTTTTGTTTTAGCTTTTATGGTTGTCTGTACAGAATGTCTTTGGTTGGTTGTTTTTTGAATAAAAACTTTAACAAACCCAAACTAGGAAGACCAAATATTAACATTGACTTAAAAAGTTTACAATTATGCTAATAACTATGGTCCATGATGCTAATTAAAGCTTTATTTTTAAAATAAATAGATAAAACCATGCCTATACATAAAACACAGATGTCACAATGGGTTAGAAAAGCCCTGTGGTATACCACAAGGCTTAGTTTTTAGTCCTTTTTATTTAATACTTGAAAACTGCCCACCTACTCTAACTTGTCAGATGTAAAAGTAACAGAAAAAAATTAAATATCTTCAATATATTATTGATAGTAATCACAAATATCCACATATAAATATGTAATTTTTTCTATTTATATAACCTACACCAAAAAATATGTCGTTATGCCRTGATAATAATGATTAACAGAGGTCAAATGTCTTGGGATGAAACACTTGTTGCCACACTTTTACAGAGAACGGCACCACAAATGATAGAGCCCACATGAAATACATATTCATCCAACTACTTTACATATATAAATAGGAAGGTCGTTTAAATTGTGTAAAAGATGTAAAGAATGAACCTTCAGGAATCATTTAGTGTGGAAGTGTAAGGCTATTCTCTGTGTCGCTGGTCTTGGGAAAGTAAACACTGCCGCCCTCTTTATTCAGCAGGTGGGTCAAACAGTGACAGCAGCAAGTTAACCAAATGTAAACAGGCCTATTTGGTTAGAAAATGGACCTAAGCTCTATTGTTATTTGACTGCTGTTTTAGCAACAGCAACACTGAAAGGTCTGATTTCCTTAAGTGGTCATTGGTCATTCCAGAGATTATGAATGAAAAGACTAAATGTTATAATTTGACAAATGAAAGAGCCCTGAAAGCAACTTTAAAATATATTGATGGAAATATCTCAGTGTTGTCGGTTTACCTTTTTGGACATGAATGATGTCTGGAAAGTTTGCCAGGTGCCCTTGGTAAAGAGCTAAGAGATCCATAACTGGGTCTAGATCCTTGCTRGGCTGCTCGGCAAAATATTCTCCAATTGCTTCGTACGCATCCCCAGTGAAGGAGATGGCCTGGTTGAGTCCGGAGGAGTACACCTGCTGGTCCATTTCAAAAGCCTGGCTCAGGGACTTAAACGACATCCCCACTTTTTGATACTCCTTCTTAAAGCCACTGATCTGTTTACGGGCAAACTCGTTGGCAGTGGCGTTGAGCTGCAAGGAGCTGTCGTCCATCCGCTTGGTGAACGTCTTGAACCCGTCGATTTTGCTCTCGACCTCCTGGAAGTCCAGCGGGTTGGGAGGGGTGCTGATGGTGAGGAAGAAGTTGGCTCCAACCATCTCGTCCTTCTCCGCCTTCCTCTTGCCCTGCTTCCAGGCCTTCTCGTCGGTGCTGCTGCAGGTGAGGAAGTGCTGGAAGACGTCGCACCTGGCCAGGACGGGGTGGCTGGTCATGTGGTTCATCCACCAGATCAGGCCTTTCCTCCTCTTGGAGATGAAGTCCTCCTCGAAGCGGCCCGTGGCCTGCTTCTCCGGCAGGTGCGGCACCGAGATGACGGGGAACTTCTCCGCCAGGCGGGCGTACAGCCAGTCGAAGTGCTTGTACCTCCTGTTCACCTGGGTCTGCGTGTGCGAGGGGGTCAGCTTATAGGAAATGTAGCTCTTCATGCCCTTGAACTTGGTCTGCTTCGTGGGGTCGTCGATCGTGCAGCTGAAGGGGTAGGGGTTCTCCTGCCACTCTGGACCGTACTGGCCCATCACCACGCAGATCTTATCCCCATCTTTCACGAAGCCCGACGCCTCGCCGAGCACAAACGCCTCGCCTCCCGACTTCACGAAGGTGGAGAACCTRTTCAGGTTCCTGCCCACTGTGGCAGAGCTCCTGGCCTGCTGAGCGTTGCCTCTTGGCCCCGCGGACGTCGACACCCTGTAGGTGGAGGGTCCATTGCCTTCGTAGTCGTTGTACTTCCCTCCCACTGAGTGTGGCTCATCTGCCACTGTGGAGCTGTCRTCCCAGTCATCGTCCCAGTCCTCATCACTGCCCTGACTGTGCTGCCTGTAGTCCTGCTGCTGCAGGGGGGCTGAGATGGTGCTGGAACTGGGGGGAGATGGTTTGGAAAAGTTTTCGAAGCCCCCGCTCGGGACGTTGGCGTACCTGGACTCCCCAGATGTGCTTCCGGTGTTGTTGTTAATCGCGGCGGGAGCGTCGTTCTTCAGTATCTCCACATAAGAAGCCGGGACCAGCCCCCGGTCCCCTCTGCTGTTCGTCCCCTCCAGCCAGCCCTCGATGTCGTGCTCGCTGTACAAAGTCAGGATCTCGTTCTCCCTCACCGACAGCTCGCCTTGGTTCTCGGAGTTGAAGTCGTACAGCGCTTTGGCTCGGAGCGCCATGATTCCCAACAGCTGGAAGAGCCGGAGAGGGAGGGAAGGAGGGAGGGAGGGCGAGGGACAGGTGGGAACCACACAGCCCACACCCCCTGGAGGAAAAACAAAACACAAATTACTCCTCACAAACTCCGCGCGGAAACTTCTAATAACTCCGAGCCGAAATCCCGTTATCGCGTCTCTTCTGTTCGCTGGAGGGAAGCAGCGGTTTGAACCCGGAGTTTACAGCCGGTGAGCGGATCTGAACTGACGGAGGTTTCCTGCTTCAATCTCAGCTCATCTCTCCCGTCTCCTTCCGCTCGCTCGGGTCCTGCACTTCTGGCTTGAAGCGCCGCTGCGCAGCCCAACAACAGACCGTGGAACAGGACGACGAGTCGGGGGCGGAGCCACGAGCCGCATCGATCCGCCCAGACATCACTAATCAATCACAGATGAAAAAGATTCTACAAACTCACATGTAGAAAGCCTAAATTCAAACTAATATTTTAAAATGATTGGGCTATAAACCCAGAGGATTATTTACACACGTAATTTATTTATTAACCGTTATTTAAAGTGAACATATCATGCAAATTCCACATTTTAAACACATTTTGTTGTGTACTTGAGTCTCTGGGAGCGCAGAAAAGTTTAATTTAGTTTCTCCTGGCGCAGTGTAAATATCTTTATATTCTGTGTGGGTTATATATTTTTTCAACCCGTTCARTTTTCTCCATTTTGTAGCTGCAATAAGGAGAAATTCAGACCAAAGCATGGGARGCCTAATGTGCATAGTTTTGAATGTGGGAGGAAACCAGAACAAAAACACAAAAGCAAACTCCATGCAGAAAGACCCCAGCTCTGAACTCAGGACCTTCTCACAGTGGGTCAACTTCCAGTCCAGCTGTTACTGCAGCTCTGAACGTCTCATTAGGCTTAAAATAAAGTTTAATTTCCACTTTACTCATACATAAGCGCACAGATAAAACCCTCACACTAATGCTTTATAGATTTTAGCTGGTGATTGTTTGGTTTGAAAAGCTCATTTGTGTTTTTGTGAGACTAATTTGCTAAATAAATTTTATTTTCAATAAATATCAATAGAAATTGTCCCTTTGATTGGACCAAGTTTGGATTTTTGTCCCCCTTGTGTGATTTAATTTGACACCCCTGATTTAAACAGTTACACACTGATCTAAATCAAGTTCAGAGGTTTGTTCTTTCATATTCTGAGAAGACTGCACCTCGTGTGTTTTCTGAATACGATGGTGAACTTGGTTTTCTGCCAAACGTTATGTCATTTTTTTTGTCATTCTAATGGAATGGCTCATTTGACACCTGCTGACGTTTTTGTGTCTGCTTTAAGTCTCGTACACATTCAGCAATATGCAACTCCCTGATCTAAAAATACACAAATCTGTCAGCAGGAAGGACTCCAAATTTGTTCTCGGCAACAAAGTTTCCAAGTTTGACTCACACCTGGGTGGACTTTCAATGAGTAATCTGGTCTCCTCCCACATACACCAACAGGCCGGTTAGGTTAATTGTTGAACTGTAGGAAAGAGTGTGTGACCGTTTTGTGCGACGTGTTTCAGTGATGAAAAGACAACCTGTCCTTTCACCTGGATGTCTCCTCCTGTGAACTAAAAAGGCATGCAATGACTGAGGTGATCATGTGAGCGTGTAGTMACTGTCTTTTGTTGTCACAAGAGCCATCAGGAGTCGTCAGTGTCATCAGAAACACTGTATGCACATTACAACACGGGCCTAAAAAACAGAACTGCTCATAAATCACACAAAATGACACAACTAGTCAGTATCAATCCTCTCGTTTTGAGTTATAATGTGACTGTTTTGTCGATTAAAATAAATTACAGAACAATTTTCAGTAAAACAAACTCATCATCACTATATTTAGACCTCATGCTTCCTATGTGACATTTTTACAATTTGTCAAATATTTAAAATTCTTGACAATAAAAATATTGGAAAATAGTATTCACTTTTACCAGACATTACCCTAAACCTCAAAGTTTACAGTCAGTTTGGTCTGAGACAACAAACAAGCTGAAACATGTTGACTTTAGAACAAAGATGATTTTTGATTAATACATTTTATTCAAGAAGATAAAACATACATTTTACACTTATTTATTGGGGATATTTACTATAAATGGATATGACCTCAGAGGCAGTTTGATGGTTTGTATAAAGGAYACAGCACTTTAAACATTTCTCAGTTCTTAAAACCTGGAATAACAATCAACTTTAACGATATCATATTCATCGATTTATTCTGTCTTATAATGAAAAACAAGTTTAAAGAGTCGGCATCAGATTTTTTTATATTTTTGATTTATTTTTATTGAAATACATATAGTGAATAATGTGAATTGATATTTTCTAGACTGAGTTGTTTACATCTAGAAGTG